TCTCTATATATATATATATATATATATATATATATATATATATATATATATATATATATATATATATATATGTGTTCAGTAACTTGTGTTTTTATACTTTTTGCAGGAGATCGAGTTCATGTATAAGCCGGGGAACATGAGTGCAGCTCCCCCTGTGGTGACTCCGCACCAGCCCAGGCTGGACTGGCAGATGTGGTTTGCTGCTTTGGGGCCGCACGCACAGAGCCCCTGGTTCAGCAGCCTCCTTCACAGCCTCCTGCAGGGCAAACGAGACGGTGAGATGACGTGTGTTTGCTTGTGCATGCATGAGATTTAAATGCATCAAGTGCATCAGTCTGAACGAGATGCAGTGCCTAATGCAGTGTTTTATACTATACTGTGGAAGTATTCCATGTGTGTGTTGTGCAGTGATCAGACTCATTCAGACAGATGAGTCTCAGTATCCGTTCAGCAAACAGCCTCCTGCATACCTCCGAGCTCACCGCTACAAATACTGGTTCAGTGAGCCCAAAGAGGACGGGTAAGCACACACCAGCTTTCCTTTCCTTTCCTTTCCTTTCCTTTTTTCTTTTCTAACTTCTTTTCTTTTACTCTTTATTTTTTATATTTATATTTATATTTTCTGTTTTAATTTTAGTTAAAATATGTATATTTAGTATTTATAAATTATTAGTTTCAAGTTTTACTTAACTTAAGTTTACTTAATTTTTTTATATATAATTTTTTATATTTTTAACATTCATTTTATTTAGAGTAAAAGCAAGTTTTTTTTTTTTTTTCAGTTAACATTTTAATTTTATTTGACATATTTTAGCACTTAAATTTAAACTAAATAAAAAGGAGTTATTTTTATATATACACACATACACTCACTGGCCACTTTATTAGGTACACCTTGCTAGTACCGGGTTCGACCCCCTTTTGCCTTCAGAACTGCCTTAATTCTTCGTGGCATAGATTCAACAAGGTTTTGGAAACATTCCTCAGAGATTTTGGTCCATATTGACATGATAGCATCACGCAGTTGCTGCAGATTTGCGAATCTCCCGTTCCACCACATCCCAAAGGTGCTCTATTGGATTGAGATCTGGTGACTGTGGAGGCCATTTGAGTAAAGTGAACTCATTGTCATGTTCAAGAAACCAGTATGAGATGATTTGAGCTTTGTGACATGGTGCATTATCCTGCTGGAAGTTGCCATCAGAAGATGGGTACACTGTAGTCATAAAGGGATGGACATGGTCAGCAACAATACTCAGGTAGGCTGTGGCGTTTAAACGATGCTCAATTGGTACTAAGGGGCCCAAAGTGTGCCAAGA